AATCTCATGGTTCATGGGTTCGAGGCCCTTGTTGGGCTGTGTGCTGACAGCTGGGAGTCTGGAGCCTGCTTTGGATTCTGTGTCTCCCTCTCTCTCTGCCCCTCCCCCACTCACGCTCTGTCTCTCTCTCTCTCGCAAAGATAAATAAACATTTTTTAAAAAAGAAAAAAGAATGCAGTGAAATGAGTCCAGAACAGTGCCTGGCATAGGTGAGCATCAGATGGTGGAGGGAAATCTGGTAGAAAGAAGTGGGAAAAACCAGGGTTGAGGATGCTTTCCCAGCACTGTGGCAAAAGTGGCACTGTTTGAGACAGCCACTGAGCCGCAGTGACTCTGGGATTGCAGTGTCATGGTTAGATCTGTCTAAAGATCTTTTTTAACACCCTTGAACATGACTTCCTGTTTTGGAAAAAAAGACTGGTTGCTTACCAGTCTGATACTACAGTAACTACTATCGGGTTTCTCCTAGAATTTGAGTTTTACAAAATCTTAATTAAAATGGTAATGAGTTTATAAGTAGCATGACTGTGAAAACCACCGTTGTAAGAAATGTGACTAGATTTTTCTTCTTATTCACAGAGAACAGTATTATCTATTACTATTTTTATTATTATTATTATTTTAATTTGAGAGAGAGAGAGAGAGAGAGATCATGCAAGTGCGAGTGGGGGAAAGGGGCAGAGGGAGAGAGAGAACCTTAAGCAGACTGTTAGCACGGAGCCCAGAGGAGGGCTCAATCCCACCACCTGGGATCATGACCTGAGCCAAAATCAAGAGTTAGACAAGTTGGACGCTCAACCACCTGAGCCACCCAAGCGCCTGGAGAATAGTATTATTAAGCACATAATTTCTCATCTCCAAAGAAACACATCATCTTATACTGAATGTCCAGAAGTTTAAAAACTTATTCCAGGGGCACCTGGGTGGCTCAGTCGCTTAAGCATCCGACTTCAGCTCAGGTCATGATCTCCCGGTTTGTGAGTTCGAGCCCTGCGTCGGGCTCTGTGCTGTGCTGACAGCTCAGAGCCTGGAGCCTGCTTCGGATTCTGTGTCTCCTCTCTCTGCCCCTCCCATGCTGATGCTCTGTCTCTCTCTGTCTCTCAATAATAAATAAATGTTAAATAAATAAATAAAAACTTATTCCAACATTTGTATTCAATAATATCTATGATTTAATAACTGATGGTATTTTTAAAAAAATTTTTAATGTTTATTTATTTTTGAGAGAGAGAGAGAGAGAGAAAGAGAGAGAGCCTGAGCGGGGGGAGGGGCAGAGAGAGAGGGAGACACAGGATCCAAAGCAGGCCCCAGGCTCTGAGCTGTCAGCACAGAGCCTGACACGGGGCTAGGACTTGTGAACCATGAGATCATGACCTGAGCCGAAGTCAGACACTTAACCAACTGAGCTACCCAGGTGCCCCTGCCAGTATGTTTTTAAACATACCAATGGGGCCAATATAATCATTAAACATGTATGGTACTTTCCTCACTATAAATGTTTTTAGGGAAAGAAAACCCATATGAATCAATGTAGAGTCTAATTTATAGATTTCTTTTTAATTAATTAATTTTTAAATATAATTTATTGTCAAATTGGCTTCCATACAACACCCAGTGCTCATCCCAACAAGTGCCCTCCTCAATGCCCATCACCCACTTTCCCCCTGACCCGTACCCTCATCAACCCTCAGTTTGTCCTCTGTATTTAAGAGTCTCTTGTGGTTTGCCTCCCTCCCTCTCTGTTTGCAACTATTATTTCCCCCCTCTCCTTCCCCTATGGTCTTCTGTTAAGTTTCTCAAGTTCCACATACGAGTGAAAAAACATATCTGTCTTTCTCTGGCTGACTTATTTCACTCAGCGTAACACTCTCCAGTTCCATCCACATTGCTACAAATGGCAGGATTTCATTCTTTCTCATTGCCAAGTAGTATTCCATTGTATATGTAAACCACATCTTCTTTATCCATTCATCAGCTGATGGACATTTAGGCTCTTTCCATAATTTGGCTATTGTTGAAAGCACTGCCAAAAACAGAACTACCCTATGACCCAGCAATAGCACTGCTAGGAATTTACCCAAGGGATACAGGAGTGCTAATTTATAGATTTCAAAGTAAATGTAATCTAATGAAGTCCAGAGTTGGACTCACAATGTTTAAGTAAATTTGAGGGCGTCCTATTTATTTAACAGAGGATTTATCTTTAGTTAGCTTGAATTATTTCCATATGGTTAAAAAGTCTTCAAAATTTATTTTCTTAGGCAGATTCAGCATGTTTCACAAAACCTTTATTGTCCTTCTAGTGTATTCCTACTGTATTCATGGTAACACTATTCCTTTACACGGTCCAAACCAGAGTGGTTCTGAATAATGTGGTTTTACCATAAATCAATT